ACTTTGATTCCATATCAATTGTAGGTTCTGTTAATTGAAAAATGCCTTCCATTTTGCAGTCTTCAGGATCAAAGCCTTCTCCACCACTTTGCACAACCATGTCTCTCCTCTGTTTTGCTCGAAGTTCCAACTCCTATAAAATTACCCGCATGATCAGTAAAATAGAAGTATCATGATGAAAACAAATAATTAGCCATTTAAGGTGCATTCTTCGTAGTTCCTAAACGTGTGCGTCCAATAAAAATTTACATTACCTGCTCATTAGACTTGCCACCACCTTGCTGAATTCCTTCTGAATCTAAATCAGAAGTGATCCTCAAATTTGGACATCTCTTTCTATATAGTTTGGTAACATCTGGCCAATTTATGCGACAATTTTGTGGACAGATGCTTGTGATATTTGGCAAGTCAATAAGTTTCAATACTTTCAGAACTGGAAGATCAATCCTGCTGTTAGATTCGCCTTGATTTTGACCTTCTTCACGTCCATATTTGCCGAACACATTTTTCAACAGACCAGCATCTTCTACTTCAAGAGACTCTAGCTGCAAACGGCCACCAACTAAAGATGCTGGCATGACGAATTCCAAATTTGGACATCCCTGGACGCAGACTTGTTTCAATTTTGGGAAAATAGGAGCCGTTGGAGTAATATCATCATGTTCCTCCTCATCTTTTACTATATGCTTCAGGGCAATGCAATCTCGTACTTTCAGAATTTCCAACGATGACACAGTATGAGCAGTAGAATATGTCAAGATAGATGTCAACTTGGGACAATCCTCCAACTGTAGGTGCTTGAGATGACAAAAATTCAGCATGTTGACAGAGTCAATACAGCGCAGTTGGCTACATTCCACTATAAACAGCTCTTGTAAATTCTCAAAAAGATTGAAAGGAGGCGGACCATAGTACAAGGCGTTGAAGCACTTCATGGTTTTGATTTTCAGCTTCAGCAACCTGGAGAGGACAGCTGTAGCTAGATATAGCGGATGATTTGTGGTGTCAATGAAGCATTCTATGTTGTCAGAGTCATGAAGTAAAAATTCTGTTAACTCACACTCTCTGTCTATTGGAATCATATCAGGGAAGATGTTTTTGCAATCTCCTTGGACATTTTCCAAGAAAAGAGCCTCTAGATTTTGTGCCATATTCTTCATTTCTTCATTTGAGGTAGGGACGTTGAAACCATTTATAGATATGAATTTTCTGATCCAATAATCATCCAAAGTATCTATGGAACTTCCAATTTCAAGATGGTACCTTCGCAGTATCTGAGAGGAGCTAATTTGGTGAAATAATGTAACAACGTTATGATCACTTGACACCATTTCTGGAAGACTGTTTTCAACAAAATATAGCTCTTCAAGTTGGGAACATCTTGCAAGCACCTCAAAGGGATTGCTTCCTATTTTGCACCCTGATACTTCCAACAAGCGTAACCTTCTTAGTTCTGCTAATTCTTCAGGTAGTTCCTTGATTACACAAAATAACAGTTCAACGGTGTCAAGCATCTTCAGTGCTCCCAAAATAGAGATGTTGTTTAAGGTCCATCCTCTCAAGCAACAAGTTCGAAGATTTTTTAACCCATCCATTGATAGAGGCAGCAGTAGACTCGAGGTTGTCAATATAGATGCACGTATTATGGCTAGCACCTTGAGCTCTATCATCTCAATGAAAAAATCATCTGAAAACTCAGGTAAACATCCACCATCATTGGATAAAAACAGAAGCTCAAGGTTGGGACAATTTAATTGACTTGGGTATTCCTTTACATCATGACAATATAATTTTGTTGTGTCTTTCATATAACCCCTCTCTGTTAAAGCTATTAGGTTCTCTTCAGGCCCCATGATCACTTGAATTTTCTTTTCCAACATAAAGGCTGCTTCCCACACCAAGTCGTGCATGCGACAGTATTGTCTTTTTTCATCTACTGGTAGCAACAAACAAGAGTTGATGAGCTCATTAATGCTTTCGCGCACTGCGATTCTAGCAATTTCATATGAGTCAGCAAAATTGAATATGTCCAATCCAATTGCAAATCTAGTCAAAATTTCCATAGGGACCTCTGAATCTTCTGGAAAGAGAGCACATAAAGAGAAAAGTGATCTCGCTTCATCACTGCGCAAGCTATCGATACTTAATTTCAGAATTCTATAGACACTTGCCATATCACTTGGTATATCTGTTGTTTCATGATCTGTCAATCTCATAAATGCTTCCTTCCAAACATTTTCTCGTTTGTCTTTCAAAGCTCTAGCCACAGCAACAATTGCAACAGGTAACCCTTGACATTCTCTTAAAATGCGCAGAGCCCCATCTTTTAATGTATCTGATATCACGCCAGTATGCTGTTGGAATAAAATCCAAGCTTCCTGTTCGGGTAGAAGTGATAAATACACCATTTTTTGGCAATCCATCAGGCTACATAATTGTTGCAGCCGCGTCGTCAAAACAACCTTGCAATTTTTACCAAGGGGAATCCCTACATCCTCGAGCCTAAGCACTTGCCAAATATCATCCAAGATTATGAGAATTCTGGCACCACACTCTAATCTCAGTTGTAGTCTTTTAGCCCTTCCAATCTCAGTCTCCTCTTCCATTCTCAAGCCTAAGCACTCTGCAATTTGAGCCTGAATATTTCTAATGTCTGGAAGATTGGACACCACGGCAAAGGCTATCATATCAAAAAGTTCCAGGCTCTTCACTTCAAGACACACTTCTTTGATGAAGACTGTCTTTCCGCAACCCCCCACTCCACAAAGACCAATCATGTAAATGTCATCATCTTCCAATGCTGCCAGGATTTCATCGTACGGCCTTTTTCTAGATTCAAATATACTGACATTGTTACGGCGCTTGATCTTGGGTTGAGGTGCCGCTGTCAACCTTTCATTGACCTGCTTCACTGTTTCAGTCATTTCTCCTAAACGCTTGCCTACTTTATATCGAGACAACCAATTAGGAACAACACCATTACAACAGCTCTTGCTTGCTTCTGCTTTGCATTCCAGCTTATCCACTTCTTCTATCACAGCTCTTGCTTCTTCCACTCGCACCTGCTGCAGAGGGTCTCCTGATGTCTTAACGCCTTCTAATTTTGACATTAACAAGTCATTTTCCTTTCTGAGATCTGCAACAAAGGTATTGAATCGAAAAATAAAGCGAGCTCGTCGTATTATTGCTTGCACCGAATCTTCTGCAGTCTTGAGCTTTGTATTGAATCTCAAGTCCTCACCACTCGACATTGAAAGCAACTGATCAGCCTGAATAGAAACCACAATGCTAAGTAATTAGAAGATGATTGATGCAGTTGTTAGGCTAAGTTATACTAGAGTGTCTGAGTTACCTGCTTCATAGCCTCGTCACCATCTTCATGTCTCACCTCAGAATCTAAACCAAACATGCCATTCAACCCTGGACTTCCCATTACAACTGGTTTATACAATGGCAGCTTGGGATCATAATTTTCTGGGCAAAAGCTGATGATATTTTTCAAGTTAATGAGCTTGAGTATTTTCACAGCTGAAAGGTCGATGCTGACCTGCTTCTGATTTTTATTTTTTTTATTATTACCACAGCCAAATACATATTTCAACTTAACAGCATCTTCTATTTCGAGACTCTCTAGCTGCGTAAGACCCCTGGCAACAGAGATCGGTAACATGCATTTCAGATTTTCACATCTTTTGACACTGATTTTTTTCAAGTTTGGGAGCAGAGGCTTCACTGATATATCTTCGTCGTTTCTAACTTTTATCATGTACCTCAATTTACCACAGCCTGTTACTTCCGGTGCTTCCAACATCACCATATTTTGAGCAGTGGTTGTGGTGAAGAGAGATGCCAATTGGCCACAGTTTGTTATACATAGCTCCTTTAATTTATCAAAAAGGCCAGAAGGAGGTGGACCATGGCATAAGGCCTCCAAGTGCTCCATGGCTTCAATTTTCAACTCTCGCAAGTTGGGGAAGAGGATTCTAGTCTGATATAGTTGACCATTTGTGGTGTCAATCAGCCATTTTATGCAATGAGAATCACGAAGTACAAATTCTTTTAACTCCTTCAAACATTCACCTTGTATTGGAAACATGCCAGGAAAGATGCTTTCTTCATCTCCCTTAATTCTTTCAAAGGAAAGACCCTCTAGTGTCTGGGGCAATGCTTGGAATGCTTCAATTGTGATACAGGCATCGCAGTTATTTATAGATATGAGTTCAGACGATGAATAATCCCTGAAAGCATTTATGGAACCTCCAATTTCCAGATGATACCTTTGTAGGTCCTTAAAGGAGCCAATTTGGTGAAAAAATTCAGCAACGTTCTGAGCAGTCGGCACCATTTTTGGAAGATGATTTTCAACAAAATACAGCTCTTCCAAACGTAAATATGTGGCAAGCACCTTATAAGGATTGCCTTCTATTTCGCAGTTCGAGACCTCCAACAATTTTAATGACTTCAGGTTTGCTAATTCTTTAGGAAGCTCTTCCATTTCACAATCCAGTAGTTCGATAGTGTGAAGCATCTCAAGTTTTTCAAACATAGAGAAATTGATTGATGTCCATCCTCTCAAGCAAAAAGTTCGGAGCTTTTTCAGTCCTTCAATTGATGGAGGTAACGATAGATTTGTTTTTGTCCCAATAGATGCATTTTTTATGGCCAGCACTTTCAGCTTCATCAACTCTTGGAAAAACATATCTGGGAATTTTGATGGGCATCCACCATTATTGGACACAATTAGTATCTCCAGTTCTGGGCAAAACAACTGATCCGGAAATTCTTCTGCACCATGGCAATACAATCTATTTGTATCTTTCATATAATCTGCCTGGGCTATAAGCTGTCGAGGCCCCGTAATCACTTGAGTTTTTCCCTTCGCTTCCCACAAAGCTAAAGTATGAAACATGTCATGTAATTTAACATACCGTCCCTCCTTGAATAATAAACAGTCGTCCTTGAATTTATCAATGGCTGCACGCACTCTGTTCCTAGCTGCTTCATTCGAAAAAAATATCACGAAATATGTCCAACCCAAATGCAAATCTGATCAAAATTTCAATTGCAATTTCTGAGTCACTGGGGCACAGAGCACATAATAAATAAAGTGATATCTGTTCTGCGTCCAACTCATCAATGCTATATTTGAGACATCTATAAGGTTCTTCCAGTCCTTTTTCAATATTTAGAGGCCGTCTGCGATCTTTCAATGTTCTCAATGCATCTTTCCACGCATGAAGTCCTTTGCCCTTCAAAGTTCTGGCCACTGCTTTGATTGCAACGGGTAATCTGTGACATTCATAAGTGATCCGTTGAGCCACTTGCTCGAATGGGTCGTTTATTTCACCAGCATACACTTTGAACAAGTCCCAGGCTTCCTCATTTGTTAATAGTGAGAGATAAATCGGCGGTGGATCAAATTTCATCATATCAAGTATATTTCGCTGACGTGTACTTAGAAGAACCTTGCAATTTTCACCAACAGGAATCCCTATGTCTCTGAAGTCAAGAAATTGCCACACATCATCCAGGATTACAAGATATTTCTTATCCTCTTGAAATGCCATTAACAATTTTGCAGCTCTATCACGCACATGTTTCTCCGTCTTAAATGTCAAGCCTATGCGTGCTGCAATGCTTTTTTGAATTTTATAGTAATTTGGTTTATTGGACACAACTGCAAATGCTGTCTTGAAAAGTTTACGGACTTCCACTTCCTCACGCACTTCTTCTAACAATGATGTCTTACCACAACCCGCCATTCCATGAAGCCCAATTCTGATCTTCTTATCGTCCTTCAGTGCCATTAAGATTGCATTGCGCGCATCTTCTGTGCACTTAAATAGAATGAAATCTTTTGATGGGGGCACGCACTTGAGTGATTTATGACGAGAAAATGGTAGCTTTGGTCTCAACTCGTTATTGAGCTGCTTCATTGCTTCCGTCTTCTCTTTTGCTTTCTTTCCAACAAGACATCGACAGATCCAGTTAGGGCAAACCCCATCGCAGCAGCTTTTCTTTGCTTCTGCTTTCTCCTTCAGCTTGTCCACTTCGTCTATGAGTTCATTTGCTTCCTTAAACTTCCTCTGAGTGTCTCGTGAAGGCTCTTTATTGTTAGCTTTGTCTTTGTCAAGTTGGCTTTGCACATCATCTCTTATTGATATCAAGTCTTCTTGTTCTTTACCCAGCTTTGTAACAAGATTGTTGAATTCATAACAATAATAACAAGCTTGTCGTCCCACTGCCGTCACAATACTTACCGCAAGTCCAGCCGCACAATTGACTCCACAGTCTGTACCCGCCATTGAGAAAGCAAATTGACCTGAATGGGATCGCAAGAAAGTAAGCCATTCATGCAATAAAAATCCAAAGACAAAAGAAGCATTTGAAGTTGAAAGCCTATGCCTGGTATATATCAAAGCTATGCATCTATTTTTTTTTTTTTTGGGCCAACAAAGATGAGGATCTTAAACTTTGTCTGTTTTTTTTTTGGTCTTATATGTCTTATTATATATCTAGATTTTAGTCCCGCAATTATTTTTTTTAGATTTTTTGGGTTCAGTTAATGGACAGACTTGTATTAAATCCCATCTTAATTACGAGAAATTTTTTTATTATAAGCAAAAACTACCCAATTTTAAGTTGTATTAATGTAGGTTCCCAATTGGACCTCTATTCAAAATTACAACAGATCCGGTGAAAAATAAAATATAACATATGCATAGTGAGACTTGTTATAAATAATCATTTCTGATGCGGCATTTCAAGGGGAAAAAAATAAATTTCATGAATAATTTAAAAATAACTAACTTTCTTAAATCTTCTGAAACAATTATTTTTACTTGTATGAGATTGAAGGGGGTATTTTATTAATAAATAATAAAAAATACAATTGAATATGATTAACTAAAAAAATAATCACACAAAAATGTTTTTAAAAATACTAAATGACAAATCAAGGTGGATGAATTTTAAAATCATAAATCAGAGCTATTAGTTTGTACTATTTTATAATTTTTAACTATTGTGAAATGGCATGAGTATTTTTGTATGACTATTGACTAATTTAATTTTTTTATTAATTACTTTTGTTTTTATAGTTCTAGTGACAATTTCTATATATTTATTAACCATTCTAATTTTGTTATTGATTACTTTCGCTTTTAATTTGGAGCTCCATGAGTAGTTAATTAATGAAAAAATTTATTCTAGTCCTAAAAAAGATCATAATTTTTTATTTTGACATTTATTAATTTTTTTCCCTAAACTACCCCAATCAATTTCATATAATAATATGTATAATTGATCAGAACATTTTACAATGTAATTCGTTAAAAGAATGAGTATTTTTAAAAAAATTAATATGCTTTTTAACAAATAATTAATTTAACTAGTTTTTTTAATTCTCATAAATTGATTATCAAGTTACTATATTTAAAACTAGACATAAGAAGGAGTACTGTGTGTTGATAGAGTCCAAGAACAAGACAAAAAGAAGAAACACAATACAAAAACAAAAAGAAAAAAAGAAACAACCAAAGAAAAACAATTAGAGCATACTAACCTTGTACTAGGACTTTGTTGATGTGTAGAAGAACAAAGCAACTAACCCAGAGAAAGCTAAATCCAAATACCAACAAATCAGGCCAGAAAACAACTACAAAACAAAAGGGTCGAGGACTTCCATAAGAGTGAAGGATGGATATAAATAGCAATGTACACAAAAGGATATGAGAAAATTCTTTCAAAATGTATATATATACCTCTTTTTTTTTTTGGAGATTTCAACTCTATTTGACGATGCCTTCAACATAAAACGTCCACAGGAAAAGGAAAAGAAATCCACCGAAACAAAACTGAAAATAATTGAAGGATCCGAATAAAGGAATATTATTAGACCATGCTGAATATTGCTGATGTCCAATAATAAGAAAGCAGAAACGTGTGTGTGTAAGCTTTCATTACACGCTTTTTCCTTCTGTAATGATAACTACGTGCATTTTCTTCACATTAGGCAAGTTTCATAAATGGACGTTTCCATACAGCTTACGACGAATAGTGAGGAAAGGGCCTCTCCACTTCCCTTTCCTCCCATTTCTATCTCCTTCTCATCTTTTAAGATTGCAATTTAAACGGTTCAAATTTTTATATTATAAAATATTTATTCTTTTTTTAAAATTATTATAGCTAAAATTTAGTAGTTTAATTTTGTTTATTTAATTTTTAACAAAAATAACAATGTACACAAAGTTTTATTATGAAATCTAAATCATTTAAATTACAATCTTACAGATGGGAAGTGAAGGAAAATTGGGAAGGGAAGTGGAGAAATCTCTCTCCCCAAATAGTGACTTGCTGGAGATTTTATTTATATTGAAGAAGTGCTCCCATGTCAAGAACGCAAAACACCCTAAATGCATAATAAACATAGAGGATATAACAGATGAGAAAGAATAGTGACGTGAATCCGACAAAAATATACGCTCACCTTTTCTTTTTTTTTGAAGTCTTCCTCGCCTTTCTTAATAAGGAAAGCTCCTTTTTTGGTCTTCTGTTTTTTATTTTTATTTTTTTTTTTGTTGATTAGCTGAATATCAAAGGGAAGCTAAAATAATGAAGAATCAAAGCAGAAAGAAATCCGGACGAACAAACTGCAAAAAAGCAAAAGGGGAATATTCAGTATGTAACGATAGGACAGGTTGGACCGGGCTGAGGGACTCCTGTGGATGCAAACTGGAACAAAAATTTTATTTTTTAATAATTTTTAGACACAGGATGCTTGAAGATTGTGTAACACTACAAGTTGTCTAATGGTGATTGGCGAAGAAAAGATGAGGGATGAAGAACAATATGGCCCAAAACCCAAAAAAAATACAAAAAAAAATCCCCTTTAACCAGTAAGCTACATAGAAAAGGGAGTCCAGAGGGGGAGAGAGAAGATTTCAGAGGATAAGCATATAAGAGACAACGTAGTTCAAACTTTGCATGGATATTTAACAAACTGAAATTTAACTTTAAGAAATAAGAGGCAGATCTAAAATCTAAAAACTATAAACAGCAAGTTGGCTTCAATCTTTATCTTCGGTTTAATCTCTTCAATTTCGCTCAGATCTGACTATCAAACACTCAAATTACCTTCATCTTGGCCGGAACAGTTAACCAACCCAAGAACAATGAAGGGATGAGAGGAAATGAAGAGAGAGAAACAAGGAAATGATGAAATGGAGTCAAGGAAGTGAAGTGACTACCAGAGTCAAGAGAGCATGATATGGTTGAAAAGTCATTAGTAGGGGGGGAACACCAGACCGGGTTAGACATTTGGGCCAGAAGACAAGCCCAAACCGGTCTGACCCAATAGTTTAACCCAGTTTGTCCTGCTTGCTTTTGTTTTTTTAGGCTAATTTTTTTAGACCGGATCAGGTCGGGCAGCTTGGGACTGGAACAATTTTGTAAAAAATAGTTCAAATTGCATATTATAAAAATAATTTTATTAAATATTTTTCATTTTTACAAAATTATTATAGCTGAAATTTAGTATTTTAATTTTATTTATTTAATTTTAAAAAAAATCAACAATGTATTCATAGATTTATTATGAAATCTAAGTCATTTAAATTACAATCTTATAGTCAAGTAAAATGGGAAGTGAAGGAAAATTGGAAGCGGAAGCGGAAAAATCTCTCTCCCCGAATGGGGTGACTTGCTGCAGATTTTATTTATATCTAAGTGCTACCATGTCATGAACACAAAACACGCCAAATGCGCAATAAACATAGAGGATATAATGGATGAGAAATAACAGTGATATGAATCCGACAAAAATATATGCTGACTTTTTTTTTTCTTTTTTTTTTGTTTTTGGAGTCTTACGTGCCTGTCTCGAGAGGGAAGGCTCCTTTTTTTTTGTTTTCTTTTTTTTTTATAATTTTTTAACATTTCTCTATTAAACTATATATAATATAAAAGGGGAGTCTTTATCAATCACAGAGTAATGATAAAAAAAATATTTTAACAAGATCAACGTAGATTTATTATAAAATAATCTATTTTCCTCGGAGATGAGATCATAATAACTTTTGGTTTTATTTTACATAGTATATATGTGTACTTGCTATATTCTTGTTTATAAATGACTTGGTATCCTAAACCCTGCAAATTAAAAAATATATTAAATTAATAATTTTTTAAACTTTTGACTTCATTAAAAAAAAAGTATTAATAATATATTTATATTTTCTCCCTCTCATTTATTTTATTTTCTCTGCATTTATTAAGTTAACAATGATAAAATTAAAAAAAATTCATTAATTACTTTACAAATGAATTATATTTAGAAGCATACTTTTTTAACAAATAATTTAGGAATAGGAAGAGAGCAGTAGATATTAGGAAAAATCTTAAAAAAGAAAGACCATTAAATTTTAAAATTCCAAATCAGAAATTACTATAAAAATATGCTGTTATTTGTTTTTTGAATGTCATCATTTTTTTTACTGACTAAAAATTTTGAAATTTAACAGTCATTTTTTAAAAAATTTTAGTGACAAATTTTCCCTAATCTGACAACCTGTCACCATGAAATTAGTGACAACATAAATTAATGTTCATGTTTCGTTGACCCACTCTTTACTGACTCCATGTTAGGCAGTTCTTTTTCACTCCCGATAGAAGGTTTAGGAATCCCAATTAAACGAGCAGTTTAGGAACCCTATCTATCTCAGACCCAAAGTATGCAAAGCTCAACTAATATAATTACCTAACATTAACCTGAAGGAGCGACCTCAAATAAACATTCACACAAGAGACCTCGATGGTGCATGATTATTTCATCACGTATAAACAATACAAGTATAATGCTTACGATATATACTTTCTCCCTAAGTGATAAACAATAAAGTATATAGGCACTCTACATTTTCTTGGTAGCCTGTCCTCTATTTGTGTGCTCGCTAAGTGTGAAGAAGTTTCCCATCCAAGTTGAAACTTGACCATTGAGTTTATTTAAAGGATTTCAATATATTTGAACTCCATTGTTGAACTCTTCAATGAAAGGACTAATAATATGACAACCACCCAATAATAAATAATAAAACGTAGAAAAGTACGTAATATAATGACATCTCTCTTGCCTACGTCCGGCCTCATACCCACATTTATATTTTTTTTAAAAGAACATGAGTGAATTGTATAACAAAATTTATTTCTTTTTATCCTATAATTGACTAGAGAGAGGGAGACGTGCAAAAGTTAATTAAATAAGTATAAAATATTCATAAATTTAATCAAATATATCATGATTTCCAATAACTTGGACAAATTAAATATGATACATGTGGAAAGATTCAAATTAGAAAGAGTGACGAAGTTTCCCATCCAAGTTGAAACTTGACCATTGAGTTTATTTAAAGGATTTCAATACATTGGAATCCATTGTTGAACTCTTCAATGAAAGGACTAATAATAAAACAACCACCTAATAATCAATAATACTACCTCCGGTCCTTAATATAAGACCCCGTTTGACTTTTAGTTTGGTCCTAATTATAAGACCCCAATCCATTTTGTCTCTCATATGTATGTATTTTTTCCCAAGATAGTCCTTCTAATAATTATAGTTCTAACCAACACACTTAATTAGCAAGGATATTTTAGGAATGGCAACACTTATTTGTTACAAATAACTAACTTAACTTACTTCCTTAATCTCCTCAAATTAGTCAATTGGGTCTTATAATTAGGACCGGAGGTAGTAAAACGTAGAGAAGTGCGTAATATAATTACATCGATAGTGACAACGCATATAGGAAGTATTGTGACATTATATATAAAGGGCCAGCACTCGCATCTATCTGTGCTCCCTGCCACAATAATTAAGATAAGAGCCCTAATAAGAAGTAAGATGGTTGCCAAGTTGTTGGCTGTGCTTTTCATCGCCGTTCAGTTTCTGATGATGCCAGCGATCTCTCTTGCCGATGCGGTGGAGCATCGGGGATCCTCCGACAGCCGTCCTCATAATTCACCATGTGAAGGAGATGGAGCTCCTACGTGCAGCTGCTTTCCGTGCGGAGATTATCACCCTCCGCCACACAACTCACCTTACTTCGGCCCAACGAACAAACCACCACCACCCAAAAGAAGAAAGCCACCAAGCACGCTTCAGAATGAGCCTCAAAACTGAAGTAAAAGATGTTCCACAAAAGTCACCATCAAAATATATGAGGCAATTATTAGCTTATGTGATCACTGCAATCTCTATATGTCTAAAGCGCGCAAGCGCGCGTGTGTGAATAAGTCTACTTTTTATTCATGTACGTGTAATGCTCTTTTGTGTATGTATATTATTGCTACCTCTGGTACTTAATATATACGATTTAATCGACTAAATTGAAAAAAATTAAAGAGTCTAAATAAATCACTCATTCATGTCATGTGCCGTTTTTTATAACCACTTATTATTCACACTAATTTTTCATTTTAACTCCATTAACAAATCCTAACATTAATTTCTCTCATGTTAATTGGTGTATTATTTTCTTTTCTTTTTAAGTGTTTTTTTGTAGCCTGCGCTAAACAATACACGTTCTCTGATCCCACTTGGCTTATCCCATCTGTTTCCCACGGGAAACTTTTTAGGGAGAATCATAACAAAATCCCAAGGAAAAAAATACTTATAAAAACAAGTCCATGAAGTTATTATTTCTTACTTTGAAACATGTCATTACAGGTTGTTTTTATTGTTATTGAGACTTTTAATAATTATTTTTCTTTCTTGGGATCTTATTATAATTCTCCCGACTTTCAGCCATCTGTCTCCCCCACAACTACAACCAGAAGGTTCTCATATTTTCAGCAACTACCCTCTAATTTAAAAAAGGGGTTAAAGTATACCTAATATCCTAAAATATTTTGTCAGGTACATCCAATAACTTTAGGTATTTTATAGCGCACCTAGTACTTTAAAATATTTTCACAGGTGTGTCTAGCACCTTAAATTATATTTAGGTACATCTAACACCTTGAAACAAAAAAATGCCTTTAGATGTTAGATGCATCTAAAAAAATATTTTAGGATACTAGATGTATCACAAAATATTTTAGAATATTTCTAAAAAAATATTTCAGAATACTTGATGCAAATTTACCTGTTTCTTTTTAAAAAATAGATAATCAGCGTACGTATATGCTTGTTGCTGCCTTATTAAATTCTTCCATTGAATATACACCTTATTCCTTCGATCTTTTATTTCGACTTTTGAAAAGTAAAAAAAAAAAATCCTAAAACCGGGAGATTTTTCATACGTTGGGCGCATAAGAATTTGTTCTTAGGAAAATAAATATATTTCTAGATTTTGCAACTCTTGGAATGGCAATATCCCTCTGTTTGTAATGTGTATCCCTTAAAATTAGAATGCTCCATTGTAAATCACTTGAAAAGTAAATGTGTCATAGTCCGTTCTAAGTCTATTTAAAATATAGATGGATGTGTCATTTTGCCATTTTGTTCTTTCTCTGCCTTCCTATGAAACATATTCTCAGTGCAATAATAGAAAGAATTTATTTCCGTGTCTACCAACAAGATAGATTATTATCTAAAGACTTGGAAAATGGTTGTTGTTGACAACTAGTTAACGTGTTGGATGATAACAAATATATTAAAATGTTGGGTGTTAGTATATACATTCATACACACATTTTAAATATTTCTTCTAGTCCGAGATTCTGCCAAAGGTGAAAATGATAATGAACCAAAGACTTTTATAGGTGAATTTAGGTCCTCCATGTGAGAAGTTAAATACTCCCTCCAGTTCTAAATGTAGAAAGTAGATAACTAATTATTTACAAAAATTAATAAAATTAGTTAAATTAGTTATTTACAATAAATGTGTGTTAATTTTTTAAAAATACCCATCTAATCAATTGTATTAAAAACTCCCATCATTAATGAAAAACCCCCCTTTTAGTATTTGCAATCAATAAGATTGTTCAATTTGAGAATATAGATATGGACGACAAAGTAGATAGATTGAAGTATTACATTTGAGACCAAATTAAAGTAAATCAGTGTGCTACATATATTAGCATCAAAATGAGTATATGCCTGAATACCATATTGTAGTTGTACTTTCCCTTTCACAACAGATCTAAGTCAACCAAGACCCTACATTTCATTAATGATTTGCTTGAGTGAACCAAGGTTTGCTGAACTCTTCCAAGGTCTCTAATAAAATTTCAAAGCGTAACTGTGAAGAAATTTCCCATCCAAGATGAAACTTGACCTTGACTTTAAGTTTATTAAAAGAATGTCAAAGTTTGAATTCCATTTGGTTGAACTCTTCAATGAAAGGACTGAGATAACAACTACTAAATTAATAGTGAAACTTAGGAAAAAGTATTAATAACGACATCAATAGTGACAACATGTGGATTGTGACACTATGAAAGGCCAGCACTCCCATCTCTCTCAAGCTGATGCCACCTCGAAGCTATTATATTCATAAATCATCAAACATCCAAGATATATCATCTTAAAGTAGTTCGAAAACACATTTTTCAACCATGAAAAAGGTGCATTGGAGCGAAGTTGCAGAGTTCTACTCTGAAGATTAACATCGTAGGATTATATTTCGACTTTTTTCGTTGTTTCTTTCTCTCTTTAAATCTTTATTAAAATTACAACGATCTCTTCTTTTTCCTCAAAACCTAACTTTAGATTAATTTTTAACACCGTTAATAATATTTCGTTACAAATTTGAAATAGAAAAATATTTGAGGTTTACATATATTTTGATTTCAACACATACAGTGAAATCCATTTTCAATAATGTCATTGCAGGCCCCCACCATCTCTTTTATAGTCAATCTGTCTCTTTAATTAATCAATAAATCAAGGAGTGTTAGGCAGACAGAAATTTCCCTGAGGGATGCGTCTCGCAATTGCCTTCCTGGTTTTTCCCCTGATCAAGTTGTCTTCTTAGTTATTTCTTATTTAAATTTTGGGTTCAATACTAATAATTGTGAAGCATTATAATCTTCTCCTGGGTCTTGAATCTAACAAGCCACACGCCTTCCACGAAAATGGGAAGCCTCATCTTTCATTTCTGCTCCATCTCCTCCATGGTTTATCTCATGGCTTACCCAGGTTTATGTCAGTCCAATTTCACTTATTCCGATGAATTGGCTCTTCTTGCTTTCAAATCTTCTGTCAGGGATACTTACAATCACTTGCAAAACTGGTCCAATTCGTCTACCATGTGCAATTGGTCTGGGGTTACATGTGACTCTAAGCATGAGAGAGTTAGAATACTGAGTCTTGCAAAGATGGGTCTCAGTGGAAGCTTACCCTCACAGATCGGCAATTTGTCCTTCCTAGTAAAACTTGATCTCAACAGTAACAGATTGTATGGTAAGTTGCCAAAAGAGTTGCTTCAGTTGCAGAGGTTAGAAATTCTGAACTTGAGCTATAATTCACTCAGTGGAGAAATCCCAAGTTGGATAGGAAGCTTATTTACACTTCAACACTTGATTCTTGGCAATAATAGCTTTGGGGGTATCATCCCTCCAAGTATATCCAATTTGTCTAAGTTAGAGACTTTGGATTTGAATTCTAATTCTCTCCAAGGATCTATTCCGTTTGATATTGGAAGGCTTCAAAATCTGAAAATTTTACGACTTTCTGTGAACGAGCTTTCAGGAAATATGCCTCCATCTATTTCCAACATGTCCTCACTTGAATGGATCTCTTTGTCTCTTAACCTCTTAAAAGGTATGGCTTGCAATAATTACTATGTGATACAAGCTTTTATTCTAGTTTGCTCAAGTGAAAATTTTCAGTTCATGTTTTTAATTTTGTTCGTTCTATCAACATCTCGTTTTAATTTTATATTTTGAACTGACAGACCAAAAACTTATCCATTATTAGTAAATGAATGCGCTTTTGAAGGACAGATTTTATGTAAATTTAAGTGTTTGAACTATGTTCATGTTCCATGTAGATCTCAACTTTTATACAGCAAAGTAATAGTTCTGCTTCATTTTAATTTTATATAATTGAATACTAGGAATTAAAAAAAGCAAACGCTAATTATATATGTTTCTAAAAGTATAGTCATATTTCGAAACCTACTCACTCTCTAATTCACATATTATGAAAATCCTCCGGCTCTAAGTCAACGTTCTTTTTTCTTCCCCTTTTTGTGTGTCTAATATTACATCTGATTGGTAATATTGAACACCCCTCAAATTATTGGATATATATCAAGAGACCACAGTAAGGCATTCCAAGAAAAGTTAATGTCTTACTCAATTTTTTAATAATATGTTTTATACAACAGGACTCACAAAATTATATTGTTATTTTCTGTTGCCATATTGCAGGGCATATTCCCGTAATGGATAAGCTTACCAAGCTGAAACTAATATATTTGGAAGTTAATAAGTTGACTGGTCAAATACCAAGAAGTATTGGAAACTTGATCATGCTTCAAGAATTATATCTTTCAAACAATAACTTAAAAGGTAAAATTTTAACTCATCATAACTTGTCACTATCTTTATTTTCTCTTTTTAATAATTTTCTTTGTTTACATGCATCATTAGAAATAAATACAATATTGATTTTGATTAATAATATATGGGAGTTAAAATATATTTATTTAAGCCATGATAAATTTTGGGGAAGCAGTCCCTGAAATATATGGCAAGAATTGGATGATAGAATTAATGCAAGGAACTCAGAGTGTAATTATTGACCTTCTACAGATTAAGGGGATATATCTCAAGTGACATATTCTTGGTTTTATCTACACGTGTATATATATTTTGCCAACATATTCTTGGTTATATATATACTTAGGAGAGGGCATTTTCATGGCTAGCATATATATGAGCTACAGCCTAGAAGATATATCAAATTTCCTACTTTAATTTAACTAGTCTTATTTCATGACTTTTATTCTGTGGGATTTTTAAAATTAAAACCACAAAATAAATTCATAGGAATTCATTATCTTTTAAATTTTTAATCAAAATTCTCCTTTATCAAATTATTAAATTATATTTATAGAAACATATAGTAAGTCAACAGATAATTTTTTCAAAAAAAAATTAAGACAACAAAATTGATTGTATTTTTTAATATATAAATGTACATATATTGAAATAGTTTTTATAATTTCTTTGATAAACTCAACTTTGCAAAGCTTCTGAAAATATATATATATATATATATATGTGTGTGTGTGTGTGTGTGTGTGTGTAGGACTAATCATGGGCAGAGCTAATTGATGGTGGGTCTCCTCAATCGATGTTTTAAGAATTGAACCAATTAATTAATCATTTTTTGCTCCTTAACTGAGGGCGTAAGAAATGGCTTGGGTTACGTTTTCAAAGGAAGAGTAGATGGGAAAGAGACATTATATTAATGTAAAATAAAAACAATACTTTTCAGATATTTCAAAGATCCAATGCAATATGCATACATATAAATATATGCACTCCATTATATACGTTTTTTTGGACAATTCTTTCTCCTCATTAGAGGAATGTAACTTTAATTGCAGTTCATTTTTCCTTTGATATAATTGTTTAATGCTACAAACTTCACAGTATTGTGTTGCCATGCAGGAGATATTCCCAAGGAAATTAGCAATCTTACAAATGCGAATAAAATATACTTGAATGATAATCAATTGTCTGGTTACATACCAAAAAGTATTGGAAAATTGACCATGCTTCAAGAGTTATCCCTTGCCAACAATGACTTAGAAGGTATATACTTTTATCAAATTGAAAGTGTTCTCCACTTTTCTTTTACTGTGATTTTTTTTTTAATTTTTGGTAGGGTTTTTTCTGTGATATTTTATTCATGACTATCAATAGAGTTGGTAGTTTTGCACAGCATTATTGAAGAAGTTGGTAATCTTCCTGGAATAAATTTCTTAAGGAAAAAGTGTCTATGATCCTCTAATTTTCTGCAAAAGTTTTATTTTGATCATTTAATCGTATAAAATATCTTGTTAGTTCTCTAACTTTAGTATGGTAAGTTTTATTGAGAAAAACAATATTGTCATTGAAATTTTAAATATTGAGAAAATATTCACAAATACTTAAATATTAAATTTAGATGTCAAAAAGCCTTAAATATTAAATTTAATTTTTAAAATAATAATGGTTGATATAAAAAATATTATTTGAAACTAATGTTATCAGGATTAAAAGATCTAAAAGACATACTTTATAAAATTAAGAAACTAAACTTAAATATTATATAAAATAAAATAATGAAATGTGTACTTTTTTCATTTCCTAATGTTAAATGTGGTTTGTTTGGCAGCATATATAAGAGATATTTGAAACTTGACAAGAACTTCAGTAGGTATATCCTGAGTTTGAGAACTTAGAAACTTAACAGCAAAATAAAAAAAGTGTTATCATCATTATTGTCTCTAAAAAGGAAAAAAGGACTCCATCATACTGAACATGACCTGGGTCTTGCGCATTTTATTTATAGCTTTTTACCCATCAACACTATAAACATTGTGATTGTTATTGCTTGCAGGAAATATTCCCAATGAAATTAGAGGCCTTACAAATCTGAAAATTATGGACCTGTCAGTTAATCAACTATTTGGCCACATACCAAGAGGCATTGGAAACTTGACTATGCTTCAAGATTTATATCTTGGAAGCAATAATTTTGAAGGTATATTTTCACCCCTCGATATAATGTGCGATATATTGTCAATTTTCGGTTAATATGATATTCTATGATCGATCATCAGCATCATATCAGTAGTAGTGCTTTTTCTTCTTTTGTTGCCATGTTAATGCAAGAGATGTTCATATGCGTCTGCGTGGGTGTATATATTTATTTACTGGGGACTAAGACTACTTCAATGGTTAATTGGTTATACTTCCTCTTGTTTTGTCCTAAATGTAAGTCCTATTTTGTAATGTAGTTTATGCTACAAAATGAATCTTATATTTAGGATTGGAGAAGTATTTCTTTTAAGAGATATAGTGACGTTGACTACACACCACTAGGCATTAGATATTTGACTATCTTCATCAAGGTTTTTTATACCTTCATCTTAATAGTTTCAAAGGTAAACTTTTTGGTTTAATTGCCAACTAGAAGGTAAACTGACAAATCAACATATTGAATTATTTTCATAAATATTGGGAACATAATGAATGGCTATAGTACTAATAAGTAATTGATACTAACTTTGGTTTTTAATATGAGAGCAAGATAACTAATTTGAAGATATTAAGAAAAGTAGTTAAGTTAGTTTCTTGTAACAAATATGTGTTGGCTTCCTTAAACTACTCTCTTTAATCATATCCATTATATTGGAATCACCGCTTTGTTGGAACCCCTTACAATCAGAAGGGATATTTTGGGAGGAAAACTATAATTTGAAAGATAAAGTAGAATGAGATCTTATATTTGGAACCAAATCTAATTCCCAACTAGCTCTTATATTAAGTACCAAAGTTAATAATAAATTGAGTAGGATATGGTTTTCATGATGAAAAACACAAAGCAGAAGAAACTATGGTTGTGCGTTGCCACTGATGGTGTAGAAAGTGAATATTCTACGCATTGTGACCTATATATGCCAAATGAGTCAGTCTGTACGTATTATCTGCTCCAAGCTTCCCTTCTTCACCGATCCCAGCCAACTAGGCCACTTATGATAAAAGAGAAAATGAGGACAACTCACTCAAATGGGTCCAAAAAGTAACACCCTTAGAACTTAAACAAGGATTAAGGGTACACAAATTACGGATTAACTCAAATAACAAATGAAAATGACCCAGTTCACATAATAAAATTTTCACAATTTCATAATGAGTTTATTCCCAAGACCTACAACAAAAGAAAATTCGACAAACACCTCATTCAAATGTATTTTGTAAGATATAATGTAACTATTCTATGTGCAAATAACTGATCACATGAGTAACGTGGAACCGACCTGTATGTACTATGGTTACCAATCATGAGTAGTCATGTGTAAGAGCTTCCCCATCATATAGCAATTTCCAAGGTCTTCATCCCAAGAAGTTTTGACCCAAAACCAAGTCCAGACAGATATCAACAATACAAATCACAATTAGGTAGAACTAACCTACTTATAGACCAGAAAGAAATCCACAAAACTATATTGCATTATCTGGAAGTGAAGTCAAGGTGAATAGCATTAGTGACCGAGCACACTCAATATTGATCATCATGTACATCTAAATAGTTAGACATTACTAGTATAATTTTATTTATCTTTTTGTATTAACTTCAAATCAAATATTAATTTCATCGGTTCTTCAATTAACATTTGTATTCCAGGCTCAATACCTATGGAAATAGGAAATCTTCAACAACTTGAGAAGTTATTGTTGTCTGGAAACAACTTAAGTGAATTTATTCCATCAGAAATTTTCAACATCTCAACTTTGAAAGTCTTGTCTCTCTCAAACAATTCTCTATCAGGAAGTCTTCCATCTGATTTTGGATACGGCTTTTCTAATCTACAAGAGTTGTATTTATGGGGCAACAAACTTTCCGGAAGAATCCCAAATAGTATATCCAATGCTTCTAAGCTAACCATTCTAGAATTGGAGCACAATAACTTTGAAGGGGTTTTACCAAGCACGCTTGGGCATTTAAGATACTTGGAATCTCTTTGGGTGCATTATAACAATTTCACCATAATAGATAATTCAAATTCTGAAACTAGCTTTTTTAGCTCATTGTCAAATTGTAGACATTTGAAAACTCTTATTCTCTCAAACAATCCATTGCATACGAAACTCCCCAAGTCCATAGGAAATTTGTCTGATTCTCTACAGACGCTGATGATAGACTTCTGCGGGCTTAATGGAAACATACCATCAGAAATTGGGAATCTGTCCAACTTGTTCAAGCTATCTTTGGCTGAAAATGCTTTAAATGGACCAATTCCAACAACAATTGGCAACTTACAGGCTCTTCAGCATTTAAGTCTTGTAGGCAATGAGCTAGATGGTTTGATTATTGATGAGCTTTGCAAAATTAGAAGACTTGTGTATTTATATCTCTCTCGAAACAATTTTTCTGGAGCAATCCTGTAACATCGGTTAACTCCAACCTTTTACTAACCTTTTTAAACTCCAAATTTAATAACACTAACCATGGTAGAAAAGAATCTTAGTATAATATTTGAAAAGGCTACCATGGTTATAAAAAGAAATTTGATTCGCCAAGAATGTTAATCATGATAGAAAAGACCTGAACTAATTATTCAAAATGTCTATCATGATTATAAGAGTTTTATTAAGCAAATTATATGAATACCGTAACTAATAATATTTCACAATAACTGGGCCTTGGGCTTTGCAAAGCCCAGCACATCACAATTAATCTCTAAGCCCATAACATGATATTTTCAGAATAAAATTTGTCCAAACCAACAGTAGTCAACTACTTTCAAAAGTTATTGTGGGTTCATAGCTTACAGACCCAAGCAACCCAGCAACAAAAGTAATTAAGACCATAAGTCTCAATTAAATCAGAGTATGCAAAAAGAGCTATATGTGGCAATATACAATACTCATCACATGACTAAAAGGAGGCTAAACAAGATAAACTTGATAGCTAAGCCTTCGCTGCCTTCCCTGACGGACCAGCCCTAGAGCTATTATCTGAAAATGTTAAACCACGGGGTGAGACAAAAGCCTCAGTAACCAACCATCCTACTCATTAGGCATACAAGTAAGTGCTTGAGAGGTGTCAAGTGGAACAGTTACTAAAATCATAACATTCACAATTTTCACATGGTTATATATATATACACATATACATATCAAAATGCAATATCTCACTCTCAATTCCACCTTATTTCCTCACACCTTATTTCCTCTGACTAAACCCATGGGCTAGTACTGTCCCATGTGACTGGTAGTTCAACATAATAAGCTCACCGATCAAGTGATGTGAATAGGCCAAAATCCACAGAGCACAAGATCAGACCATGGGTTCCCCCTCTAGTCCACTAGCGGGGTGTCATACGCCCTACAACACATGATAGGGCCAAAGGATCAACCAGTGTACATCTGGCGTCCTCCCACCTTATTACCTCTATAATATGTACAAAAATTCACCCCCTTATTCTCCCTATAACATGTCTCCCACAAATCAACGTTCACCGTCCCCTCTCGTATTTATACTCATGAGAATAGTCATTTACCAATAACATAATAACTTTCACATTTATCAAAATCGAGATTTCGAAATTTCAATAATCAACACCAGTCCTCAAACCATTTCTCAATAAATTCTTGTTCCACATGACAAATTTATAAAGTCATAATTTCATACTATTTTTCAATAACATAAAGTATCTCAAGGCAATTTCAACAACGATGCCTTTCATTGCTCAAATAATAATTCAATGGCATTTCAAGAATCTCATATAATTTGAAATCACTCACAAACATCATACAAGCATACATAACAAGTGGAAAGTGGTTACCTTTCACCAAGGCTATAAAAAGAATTACTACAAAGTCAACCCCGTGCTCAAACCAACAATCCAATAATCAATCTACACCATTAATATAACCACAAATTAATTAAGCTTATATATATTAGTTAAATTCCTAATTTAATTTAATTATCATTCTAAATTCTCACAACTCTTATAATCCAAAATTAAGTACTTTAGAACTAATTGGTAATTTTCTAACAAGCCAAATTATTTATTTACATCCCTCAACTTATTTACTTTAATAAAAAGAATTTTCTAAAATTTCTAAATATGAAATTAGTATATTCTAAATTCTAAAAATCACATTTAAAATTTAAGCCTCAAAACCGGACCATCAAAAATTCAATAGTGTCTCAAATATTTATATATATAAATAATCAAACCAAGATTTTAATGGCATAGATATGTTTTTTTTTCCATAAATAAGAAACTTTAACTACAATAATTATTTTAAAACCTCTAATCACTCAATAAATAAAACTAAACCGATTAAAATTTTAAGAATATATCAAACAATCCAAATAAATTATTTAACTTAATTTTAATCGGTATAAATATGATATATCTCATAAATAACATATTTTTTTTATTAAAAATTAATTTGTAAATACTAAAATCAACAAATAGACAAATCTAAACCGGTAGAAATGATCTATTATAACAGATCTACAATACTGTGATTAATAATCATCAAAACTAAATACTTGTTCCAAACTTTATATCAAAAATTTTCTTTAAGCAACACAAAATTACTATCATTAGATAGATCTGACTGAATAGAACAACTTTCATGAAGGAAGTTTTGTAATTAGAAGTAGTTTTACTTACCAAAACTATCTGAAATGATGAAGAAAGAAGGGAGAAAGACGAGCGACGCTGCGAGCAGAACGAAGAATGAACGCGGAGAGAGAGAAGGAGAAGAGGAAAAATGACGGGAGAAAGTAAAAAGAAGTCACTCGGGGTAAACTAAAGTTAAAGACCCAAAATAAAACGGAGAAAATAACAATTGGGAACCCTTTTTTTTTTTATATTTAAATTCGTGGAGTAAAATTTAAGATGTTACAAATCCCGTCTTGCCTAGGAAATCTCATGTCCCTGCAAGCGCTTTACTTGGGCGCCAATAAGTTGATTTCTGGGATACCTTCTTCCTTTTGGAATTTAACAGGTATATTGAAAGTAAACCTATCTTCCAACATGCTAGTTGGAAATCTTTCATTCAAGATTGGGAACATGAAAGCTCTCGTGATATTAGAATTGTCAAGAAATCATATTTCAGGCGTCATTCCGACAAACATAGGTAGCTTGCAAAATTTGCAAAATTTCTCCTTAGCAGATAACCTATTGCAAGGGACGATTCCGGAATCACTTGGGAATTTGCTAAGCTTAGTAAAGCTAGACCTTTCCCAAAATAATTTGTCTGGTGAGATTCCTAAATCACTTGAGTCACTTACATCCCTTAAGTATGTTAATCTCTCTTATAACGAGCTACAAGGTGAGATTCCAAGTGGCGGGGTCTTCAAAGATTTGAAGGCTGAATTTTTCATGATGAATAAAGCACTTTGTGGTGAGCCAAAAATGCAAGTGCCTCCATGTAGAAAAGAACAAAGAAAGAGGTCAAAGGCAAAATTGATTTTATTGAAATACTTATTACCCATGGTTCTGTCAGCAATTTTAGTTGTTTCAGGCATTCTCCTCTTTCAACGCAGACGAAGGAATTCTAGGCATGCCATAATGAAAGAAGATTTACCAACTTTAGGAATGCCGAGAAGGATCTCGTATTTTGAAATTTTGGACGCAACCAACAGATTTGATGAGAGTAACTTACTAGGAAGTGGAAGTTTTGGTTCTGTATTCCAAGGAAGGCTTTCAGGTGGAATAATGGTTGCTGTTAAAATATTCAATTTTTATTCAGAAGCATTGTCTAAGAGCTTTGAAGTGGAATGTGACACAATGCGTAATGTGCGTCATCGTAATTTGGTGAAGATTATTAGTAGTTGTTCCAGTGATGACTTCAAGTGTTTGATAATGGAGTTCATTCCCAATGGGAGCCTTGAAAAATGGTTATATTCTCATAACTATTGTTTGGATTTTCTGCAAAGGTTAAATATAATAATAAACATCGCATCTGCTTTGGAATATCTCCATCATGGCTTGTCAACACCGATAGTCCACTGTAATTTGAAGCCAAGCAATATTTTGTTGGATGATGACATGGTTGCTCATGTCACTGACTTTGGAATTGCAAAATTTTTAGATGAAGGGAAATCTAGGACACTCACGGAGACAATACCTACAATTGGTTATGTTGCACCAGGTAATTATCCTAAACCATGCTTCTTATCTTCCTTCAATATGAATACTCACAAATTCTTATACGAGAGAAACTCTTGGGTATTTACTTCTAATTTTATGAGGGAGGCTTTTAGATTAAAAAAGAGAGCCACACTTGTATAATTAATTTTGTATACGTTTCTCAAATACTTCAATCTAAGAAAAATATAAATTTTGATCCTCAAACTTTTTCTCAATTATTGATTCAGTCTTTAATCTTTAATTTTAAACAACTTAGTCCCTGTCATTTCTTGACTCAAAGTACATGTCAATTCTTATAAATTTTAATTTTTCACTTGAAAAATCTTCATCCTTGGAAATCTTTTATGGCTCAATAAATTATAAGGGCTGAATTGATATTTCTTATTTTTGTAAGTTGTTTTATGAGATAGTTGATTTTTTTCACTTGGTGGACTCAAATCATATGCAGAATATGGATCTCTTGGAATTGTTTCAACAAAAGTAGATGTGTACAGCTTCGGAATAATACTAATGGAAGTATTCACAAGAAAAAGGCCATCAGAAGACATATTTGTGGATGGGTTGAACTTAAAGAGTTGGGTAAGCGAATCAATGTCCCATTCACTAACTCAAGTCATAGATTCCAATTTATTACAAGGAGATCATGATGAACAATATATTGCTAATATTTTGACAACTACATCCACTATTCTTGAATTGGCCTTGAACTGTTCTGCCAATTTTTCACAAAGGCGTTGCAGTATGTCAGAAGTTGTGGTATCATTAAACAAGATCAAGGACATGTTTATTCAAACATGTCATTTAAAGAAATATTGAACCTATTTGCAATTAATTTGTTAATTTGTATTATTATTGAACCTATTTGCAAGTAATTTGTATTATTGTCCATGGAGATACTCTGAAGACAAATACATGAGCTGTAAATTTAATTTATTGTTTTTTTTTTGGATGAGCTGTAATATATGGATTATGAGTGTTTCGATCAATGATATATAGGAGACCATATTTTTAGGTTTTTGAAGAAGGTATTGAAGTAGTCCCTTTAGTTCATAATATAAGACGTTTGTTAGAAAAAATTGTGATAAAAATATAAGATACTGTCAGAAAAATTAATGTAATTTTTCCACTTTTGTCTATAGGAGAGAGAGGAGAGATAAGAAATAATAAAAATGTAATATTGAAGGCAACTTCATTATTTTTTAGGTGTAAAATAGGAAAATTCTATCATTTTAAGACAAGTTATCTAAACTTTTATTTCTTGGTATGTGAAAAAAGTTAACCAACTTCTTATATTATGAACTGAAAAGAGTATTTATTTAGACCAGTCAGTATTGAAGTATTTACCTCCTGTCTTATCAATCCAGTATATTTACTTTCCCGATTCCTTTTTGAGGATGTTTCTTGATGCTACATTTCACATTATTATTTCATATCTTGATTATATTAATTTTTTGCAAACAAATAAAGGGTTATGCGAAAGCGTTATGAGTTTGACAATTTTGATGAGTTAAAAAAATGTCACTCAACAACTTCTAAGTGCTGTGCTTATGAAGTTAACTTGCCTTAATTGTCGCTTTGGGGTTATTCTAAAAATTAACCGAATTAAAGCAATATAATGCACAATCCGGGTCGTATTCACTTTGAGAAGCCGAAAACGAAATTAAATCCTAGTAAATAAATGCAAGTAACCTAAATTATAAAAAGGGATTTTTGATTTTTGAAAAACTGCTAATTAAATGCTACGAATCAAATTGAAATTAAAATATTTTTTTTTGTTTTTATATAAAAGTAATTAAAATGAATGAAGATTAAAGAAATGAAAATGAGACACACAAATAACACTAATAATAATCAATCCTCCAATTCAACAACGCAGGCAATCATCACTCTAAAAGATGTGGGAGTTAAGACAATAAATTAAGAATTATAATTAAGCTTTTAATCCAACAATTGAGCCACCTCAAGTTGCCACAAAATATTTTTCTAAAATCCCAACTTACTAACTGCAACCAGAATAGTAAAATGGGATTAAGGATGCTAAAAACCAATGCTTAATTAGAACTTTTAAATCCAAAATAACAGAACTAAAGCTAGCAAGAGACAATATGATCCAAAATTCTAAGCCACCTTAGAAAATCACATTATATTAATTTCAAAATCAATACAAATGTCATAACCACAATATTATAATTGAGATCAAAACTATAAACAGCCCAATGTCAAATACTAAGCAATAATTCAGTCACAATGATCTCCAAATATAATCAGATTAATCAATACAATTATTTTCTAATAATTAGAATAACTATCTTAAGACCTAGGAATTGTTAAATAATTATTAGACAGAAAATTAAAACAACTAAAACTCTCCTTTAATGATCTAAGCTCCTGCCATTATTGTTCAATTAGAGAATTGTGAAGCTAGCCATGCTTTGCCATCAAAAGTGCTATATTCAATACTCTATTGCAAGCTTCCATTGAAGAACAACAGCGTGAAGAATTCGGCGCGTCTCCTCTGCTCTCAGCCGCCGTCCAGCGTCTCCTCTGCTTCGCAGGTTGCGTCTCCTCCCTCTGTGCTTCGGTTTACTCTGTTTCGTTTTCGCCGTTCCCTCCAGCCGCCTCGCGTGTGTGTGTGTTTGTTTGTGCGCTCCAGCCCTTGTGCGCCGCTTGCGTCCTCTCCGTCTCGTGCCTCCTGTTCGTGCCTCCTCCTCAGCTCTTCCTCTGTTTCGCTCCCCGGTTCCCTCCAGCCGCCTCGCGTGTGTGTGTTTCCGTTCGGCCCCCTCCTTTTTTCCGTTCGTCTTATATTTTTTTTCTAATTTAATTTTTTTCTTTTTTTAATTTATTTTTTTATTTTTTTATTTTTGAATCTTCCAAGAACCTGCAAGTAAAATTCAAGAATAAGGTAGCATTAATTGTCCTTAAAAATCAATTAATCATAATTAAATCAAAACATGACAATTTTGCCCCTATAAAATAATAATTCAAAATAAAACAAAATAAATCAATTAAGGCAAAAAGGGATCAATTAAGCTGACAAAACTCATATAAAAGATACCAAAATATATAAAAATAATTGAGTTTGTCAGCTTACATGCTGGAAAATTCCTTACCATATATATATAAATATATATATAACTTTGTAATGCACTCATGTAATTCTTCTTTTATTTTTTTGTGTGAATGAACACTGGATGATATTATTTCTTCGACAAAAATACATGTTTTCTGTTAAACAAGAGCTTTTCTATTAAAAAAATAATAATATAAATGTTTATAAACCTGAAATATTCACCATAATCAATACATTTTATCATATAATTGAGATGATTGTATATTTAAATTTTGTAATGATTACTAACTATTTCTTTTGGTTTTGTACTCCCTCTGTCTCTTTGTGCAAGTAAAACCTAGTTTTCAGACTCCGGATACCATTAAGTTCGAACATGTCTTTGTTTCTTCTCCTTCTTCTCATTCCTACCCTTAATCACTTATTAGGATGTACAGGTCATATATGATAAAATGGTTGGATGCACAAGCTTCCAAATGGTACAATTTGGATGAGAATTGAAAGACAACCGATGTCCAGGAAAATCCCTCTGGTCTATTAAAAAAATCGTCATCTTGTAAATGAAAATACAAGAGGTTGATTACTTCTGCTCCATGAAACCAGATTTACGAAATAACTTCCAACTACATGTAGAATTCTAACAGGTCGGATTGTGTTCTCTCAAGAAACAAAACTAAGAATATTTATTGCAAAACTTATTACTTTGGCAAGTATTTGGAAACAGGTCCCACATCATGTCGTTTAAAAGACAACTATACTATATAAAACTCTGAGTGACGGGAGCGGCACGTCGGCCTTTGTAACGCTAGTTTGTAACCCAAGTGACAGTATCCTAAAATATTTTATTATGCGTGTAATATCTTAAAATATTTTTTTAAATGTATTCAGCGTCTTAAATTATATTTTGATACATCTATCATTTTAAAGTATTTGTTTAAGTTTCTCCAACACCCAAAATTATTTCTTAGGGCATTGAGCACTCTAAATCGTTAAGTGTAAAATGACACTAAAAAACACTTTAAGATGTTATGTGTACCAGAAAAAATATTTCAAGATGTTAGATGCACTACTAAATTATTTAGGATGATGGATGTACCTTAAAAAGCATTTCAAGATACTCTATGCACCTTAACCCCAGCTTTTATTTTACATCAGTCTTTTAGTGATGCTTATTTTTATATTTCCAAACTTATTATCATTTTATTTCTTGACAGTCATTTTTAAAATTTATCAATGACTATCAGCTTATAAAGCAAGCAACCATTTGGTTAATCTTTTTCAATAAAAAATAAATTGTTTTAAAAGAAAATTTTTGAAAACTTAATATTTAAAATTTTAATAATAATTTTTTAAAAACTAATTGTCACTGTAAAATTAATTAATCTTAAATCAATCAAATTTAATCCCTACATGTGATTGTTTATTGACATAATGGTTTAAAGTTTTCAGGTTTATAGAATGAAAAAGAATTTGCATTTAATTTTTTTCCTTCACTAAGAGCGTCTACATTATTCAGAGATATAAAAATATGCATCACTAAAAAACTGATATGAAATAATGGCTAAGTTTTCTATTTTTCTTATTAATAAAAAACGGTATTTAATTGATTCTTAAAAAAATGATTTAGAGGTGGGAGGGTCTCACAAATAGGGATGAATAATTATTCCTCCTCTCATTTGAACGTTTTTGCCTTTATCCATCTGCCAAATCCTCTTCTTTCTATTTTTTTTCATTCCAACTTTCTCCTCATTTTGCTGGAAACGGTGTTGTGTGTAAGCAGCGGACAGGCAGTGGCAGCGGAGGATAAGCGCAGCGGAGGAAAGCCAGACCCGGCTTGAGGCTGGTTTCGCAGATCAGCCGACAACCTCTGGCTCCTGACAGTGGAAGGATCACAGACTGCTGCTCCCCCAGCCCACAATGCCTGGTAAGCCCAGCTGCTTGAGCCACCGCTTTTTTGTTTTGGCCACCTACAGTTCTCACTTCCCGTTCCAATTGAAGTAGTTGCTTCATCTTGTCATCAACTACTATTCGATGAATAGATGCCAACCAATCCTTATCAAACCCAAAAGATTCCAATCCCTAACATAGATCTTCATGTTCCTCCCATTATCGCGTTTGCTAGTTCTGATTTTAAAAAAAATCTTGACATGTTAGCTGAGGTTTTATATTGATCCCTCTGTCCCTTTATATAAAGCCTTGTTTTGAAATTCATGGATGCCAATGTCTTCTTGTTTTCCCCCCCCCCCTTTTCCTTCTTTCCTATCCTACCCTTAATCATTTAGAAGGGGTTTAGGGTTTATGATTTATTCTCTTGATCTTAATACTTCTTCCATTATCATGTTTGGCTAATAGGTGTTGTAATGAGATTCATGTTCCCTTCATTGTTACAGTTCAAAAACTCACGCTCAACTACTAAAAGAGGGAGCTTCTTTTTTTTCCTTTGAAGGGGGGATGTTGTATCCTCCTGGATATAAATGCTGTTTCTCTGCTTTTAAGAACGCATCAAAAACAGAGCAATAACAAGAAGCGAAAACCCAGAATCCTAAAAGTTATGAACCGACAACTGTGAAGCGTTCCCTGTCAGAATGTGTTGATGAAGTTAAAGTTATCTCCCCATTCATAATGACCCGTTCCCTTTACTTGAGGTATATCTATGATCAGGCTATGGAGGTAAATCCATAATAAATGTCTAGGCATGTCTCAGTGCTTTTGTTTGTTGATGATTTTCATCATCAGGTTAATGTTCAGCCTGAAAAACGGAACTATGTTCATTATTTATTTTTTCTATATAATTCGTTGTTATTTATTGGGGATTAATTCCGGTGCAGCAAGTTTTTCTCATAGTTTCATTTCAATTTGTAGTGTTGGTGCTCTTTGGAATTATTCCAGCTACAATGTCCTTGTCTGATAGGTACTCAAATTCGAATTTAGATTCATTTCTACCTGTGAAACTACCTGAGTTAGTTCCCGGAGGGAAGATCACTCTATTGCTGATTCTTGGAGGTGCTGGATACGTTGTTCTTTGTGAATTGCTTGAGCACTTTCAGAGCCTTCAAAAGATTTAATTTTCTTTGTTCATTTTTGGATGATTATTGAAGTATATTTTAGTGTAGTGTAAAAGAGTACTTTGGAATGAATGGTTCCGTACAAATCTTATCCGTCTCTTCCTGTCATCTTGCACTTTGTGTCCTTGAAGCAGAAGGATTCAACAGGAACTCATGTTTTCTTAAATATATATCGCTCTGCTGCTTTTAAAGTAAGAGCTGCTTAATTTGAGTAAATTATTTCAGGACAAGAACTTAGGCATGTATTGTGACATTTACAAAAAATTCCTATCACTTATATCTACAAAAAAATTATTTTGCTATAATTTATTTGAATTTGAAATGGCTTTTTTTTTGTCATTTTTTTTCTTTTACCTCATGTGACGGCTCATTTTTTTTTTAGTCACTTCTTTCTCCTTTTGTAACCTCTACCTGAGTCAAGTGCATAGAAAGTCATAGTCTTTTCGACAAAACATAACTAATTAATGTAAATCTACATGACATAGTTACTAGTAACAAGTAGTCATATTAACAGTTATTGTGGCCTATTTTGACAACATATTCTTTTATTTTACAGTACTAACCTTTAACTTTTTTGACCATTACCCACTAATCATGCTCAAACATAGCAATATTACCCTCAAGCCGCTTACAATATATCCAAAGATAGAGAGCACCCATCAACACTCTACTCATCTGTAATAAAAACCGAATTTAAATAACCAACACATACTAAACCAAAAACAGAAGCCAGCTTTGCCAATGGTTGATACAAATGAAATGGGCGAAATTTTCAATTGGAAATAGAGAAGAAACTGGATGAAATTTGGGTTTACCTTTCCTCTTGCCTTTTGTAAGCAGAGTGCTGATTTTCAAATTGAAACAGGGCAACTTTCAGCTGCTTTTGGTGTATCTTACTAGGCTACAGAGGTTTTTTCACATTTCACTGAGTTCTTTTTAGAATTTTGAATTCCTTACCAGGTTTTTTGACACCTTTTAATAGTATTGTGTTCCATAGAACGTCAGTGTCCTTTGTCCATTTCTTTTTCCCGACAACACAAAAATAAGAATATTTATTACAAAATCTTTTAATGTTGGCCAGTATGAGAAACAAAATACACTACATAAAAATCTGACACAACCAGCAGCTCGCCGAGCTAGGTAATTCTAGCTTGTAACCCAGGTGGGGGCATTAAAGTGATAGAACATGGCTCTGTTATTGCCTGATTGGGTTCGAGGGGGCAGCTAGCTGGTCTGCCCGCTCCAAGTGGAAAGCTGAGCCACGGATCCTAAGCGAAGGCTCTGAGCCACCGCGTGAGGCTGGTTTCACAGAGCAGCGACGACCTCTTAATCTTCACAGTGGAAGGATCACAAGCCGCTGCTTCTCCAGCCCGCTATGCCTGGTGAGCTTAGCCGCTTCAGCCATAACTTTTTCGTCCCACAGCTCCGTTTCTCTGTTTTTGTTGTTAAAATATCATTTTGCACTTTGCAGAATCTAGACAACAAGAACTGAGGGTGCGTTTGGTAGGAGGAATTGGTTTTTGATGGAATGGGAATGGTAATAGGATTGGGAATGGGAATGGTAATGGGATTGAGAATGGGGCTTTTATTTTGTGTTTGGTAGGAGGTAATATGTGGAAGGAATACATGTATTTATTTTATTTTATAATAAGATATATAAAATTAAAAGACTATAATACCCCTTGGTATTTTAGAGCTTGTGACTCTAACCTTATGCACTCCTTTTCTAATAAAAAGAAGACCACATGGTCATATATATTGTTTTAAAAATAAATATATTAAAATTTGTCTCATTTTACAATAAAAATAAGTAAAAATAAATTAAATATTTTGAAAATCATAAAATTTTCACCGTATCCCAACAAATTTAAATATAAAAAAGTAATAAAAATTTAAAATTTATCCCAAAAAAATTATTAATAACTCCTTAAAATTATAATTTACTTAATATTATAATTTACTTAAAATTTAGTAATACATTTTAAAATTAATAATATATAAGATCAAAAGATAAAAAGCAAATGACAGGTCTTACTATAATTTTTTGTAATATTAGTTCAAGTAAATAAGATAATCCATATCTTACTTCAAACGGCTATCAAAACATTCCTACTTGAAACAAAATATTTCAAGTCTATAACAAAATATTCCTGTTTGAAACAGAATATTTCAAGTCTAACAAAATATTCCTATGTTTCTCATGAAAAGAATTCATGAAAATATCCCAACTTGAGTCACACAAATATCAAAATATTCATCAGCATATTCATGGAGATATTATTTCACGGATCACATCAACTTTCCCCTCTTGAGACATGGCAAAAAATCCAATCAGTATACTCTCATCAGATATCATCTTGACATAAGCTGCCATACATTCTTTGTGTGAAAGTCCTTCAACCTTCATAAGATCACCATAGAGTGACTCCTTCATCCCATCTAAACGTTTCTCACGTTCAACCCTATCCAAACGCATTCCCAGACGATCACTTGCCTCCATCAAACCTTCAGAAAATGAACGAGCAACTGTCTCAATACCTTTGAGTGAGATGTCATCATGATCAGCTCTTGTATGCTTTCGCTTTTTGGACCCTGAACTTGCATCAGATGAAATGTGCTCATTTTGATTATTGACATGTGAAGTGTCTTCCGGATGTGAAGTGTTGACATGTGATATATCCATATCAACATGTAGGTCAGCATCAAGCATTGAATTGTCCAAACCATTCTGATCTTGAAGCTCCTCAAGGACATCTTCATACGTTTAAGCATCCTTGCCAGTTGCCCTATCCTTGCCAAACATGTCATGAAGCTCATCATAATAAGAGAGAGACTTGTTCCGGAACTTAGCTGCCTCCTTGTGTGCCTGTAAGGATAACACAAGTTACAGTCATTAATAAATAATTAAACAACTTGAAATACAATTATGAAATTAATTGTAACTTAAACAGTTATGAAATGACCAAATTAGTTGAGGTATGAAACAATTGAATGGATAATAAATGGTTACAACCTCAGTTATTTCAAGTTCTGAAAGTATAAAGTATTTTCATTAACTTATTGAAGAAGGATTGATTTTCATCAACCGGTTTGAAATGTTAAATATTGAAAGAGTTTATTTGCTCTTAGAGATTCAGCCAACCCGGATCTAAACTAATGGCTAACATGGAATATATATCATTATCATATCATATGACGATGAAGAAAGAAGAGAAAATAAAATATGCTTGTGTATGTAATGGATACAGATCAGCTTGGGGATAGGGGAAGGAGAATAAAATAGAAAAGGATGAAGGGGGGGAAAAACAGAGAGAATAAAGACGATGGGGAAGAATAGGGAGGGGGGCCGCAAGTTGGGATGCGAAGGGGAATCATATTAATTGGGGTACCTTAGCAAGACAGAAGGTCATCATCAAAATTTTATTTACTATCGCATTTATAGTCTACAAGTATCAATCATAGCCATATATGTAAATTGCAAAAGTAAACATTTACTTTTACATACTCATCCCATACTGCCTTAGGAGCTGTCACACATTTCCTCTCAGTATTCCAACCAAATCCAGATAAATTGAGAAGGTTAGAAACCACACCATAGTCAGTTTTTAGCTTCTTAATCCTAGACTGTATGTGAGGATGGGTCTTAAGAGACCACCCACATCTCTTAGCATATAACATAGCCTATCAAATGTTGCCCTATTCATTCTAAGTAGGTTGAAACATGCCACATCACTAGTAGACACCATTCTTGTTAGATAAGATCTCTTAGCAAAAAAGTCCATTTGGTAAGTTATGTGTTTGACTCGTTGTCTCCTTAACATGATACTCATACATACATATACAGAAAAACAGTCCCTGCACTGCCTCAGCCATGCTCACCGACAAAAGCAACACACGTAATAGTTCTCTCTTTTCTTCAGATAATGCCATAACTGTGTAACCAATATACACATATAAGAACAATTAAATCTCTAATCTTGAACTAAACTCATCCTTCAACAAAATAACCATATACACAGATTAATCAATTTAATCAGAATATGCAAATAATATACATGTCCAAAAACAAAAAGAATAGGAAAAAAAATAGTAAATTGAGATTATATTGTTACTTTCTACTCAAAGTTTAAATGAACAACAATATATTACTGAACAAGAAAACGTGTAAATAAAAATGAGTTAACATAAGAGGGGATAGAAAGAGAAGGAAGGAATAGGAATATTGCATCAAGCCCTTTGCTCCTAAATGCATCCTTTCATCACTTACCTTTTATTATTACTCCTTGAGCATAAAAGCTACTCCCATATTCCCCCTCGTTGACACATGCCATCATTAGATCCCACTCTGTTTTCTTCCCTTTTATATTCACCCATAAATTCATTTAAAAAAAAAACACAAACATATTTATTCTTGTATTTCCTCCGTCACATGCTATAAGAAATCGAAGTGTACTAAAAAAATCTCTAATCTTGAACTAAGGAGCATGGAGGAAAGAAGTTAATATCAAATGGGAAGCACCACATGATGGTCGTGTAAAGCTCAATACTAATAGTGCAGTTAAGGGGCAGAATAGAGTGGTGGCTGTGGTGGTTTGCTAAGGGATTGTTGATGGAATTGGGTTAAGGGATTTACAAGGAAGCTGGGTTCTTGCTCAACAATGACAGTAGAAATTTGGGGTGTCATCACTGGAATGAAGGTAGCTTTAGAGACTGCTGATACTAACTTGTTTGTGGAATGTGACTTAGGGTCCCTTGTGAATATTCTGCAAAACTTGTATGTTGATGAGTTTGCTGATTCGAGTTTACTAAAAATTGTAAAGTAAACTCAGGGGGAGTTGCTTCCCCACGCATGATTGTACAGCAATAAGAGCTGAGCGAGTATGATTGCTGCACTCAGAAAAAAAAAAAAACAAAAAAAGGGAAACTGCTCATAGCAATCTTGTCAAATATTCTACAGGTCACATAGTGGCTCATATATACAATTTTCAATTACCAATTCCACCATCCGTCAGTTTTCAAACCTTTGACTTGACGGTGGGTCTATGACTACATAATATACTAGTAATATATAGAGGCTTGCTTAGGTGAGGTTCCGATATGTTCAATTTTGGGTGGATCATTTGATGAATGCCCCTTTCTCTCTCTAACCTCATCTCAGGTTTTGTCATTCATTAATTAGTATACTAACCACCTCGTTGAATCCCCCTCATGTTGTTCTCAACCACCTCGACTAATGGTTCTTAAATCTACGATGCCCCTTAACCTTCCTCGGCATATGCTTCCCTTGACATCAATGAGTTGTTGAAAACAAAAAAAAAAAAGAATCGATTGACAGTAAGTAGGTAAAATATACACTACCTGACGAAGATAAGGTTGAAGATAAAGCACGGCAAATCAGATGAGGGAGATCAAATCAGGAACTATAAAATCATTGAGGAACTGTTTATGATCTCAGCATTATTAAACCGATTCATGTTTGTGATGCCAACAATCTTCCAAATCCACTAGAATTTGTGCATCAAAGAAGATTAAAAACAAATGTTAATGATAACTGAAAAAATAGGGATAGAATTTATCTTACTATTGATTGAAGATGAACAGAGCAACCGAGAGTGACGACGTGAGTGACGGAGTGAGCTACGATGTGAGCGACGGAGCGAGCGTGCGGAAGAAAGAAGATGGAGATTGCGATCTGGGAGGAGATGAGATGAAAAAATGAAAGGGGTAATTTTGTCTTGACGTTATTGTAATATGGGTATTTTTGTCTTTTTGGTCTTTTAGTCCCAGGATCAGGGAGCATTACCGAGGGGGAAGGTGGGATTGTATAATCCCACCAATGTGATAATCTTCAATCCCTAGTAATCTTTAATCCATCTTACCAAACATGACAATTTCACCCAATCCCTGTTCCAATCCCATTCCCTCCCCCCCAATCCCACCTACCAAACATGACCTGAAAGAAAAACGAACCGTAAGATTTGTCTTCTTCCTTGTGTTGTTGTTGTTGCTCTCTCATCATCGTCGTTGTCAACATTATCATCATGGCAAAGTTCTTGTTGCATAGCACCTATTGCTCCCCCTTCATCTTCCAAATCCAATTTTAGATAATAAAAAACGAACTTGCAAATTTATGAATCACATCAACAGGTAAATCTATTGCTTCATGATTTATGCACGTAACTGAAATCTTTTCACATCTTTTTGCATTGCAGGAAATGTGAAGAGAGGATTGTGCAGCTGGGCTTTCATATTGTTGCAAGCCCCCTAGCTCTGAATTTGACTCTATATTAATGGCAGAAAGTCCCACCTCTGAATTTGACTCTATATTAATGGCAGAAAGTCCCACCTTAATGGCAGAAAGTCCCACCTCCCAGAGGTAGTGTGTGTGTGTGCGCGCGCGCGCGTTTGTTTTACCTGCTTTGCAGCTTTGTCATCATCACCTTGCTGTCTCATTTCTGATCTTCTCCATGATGGTATCTGCCAAATGCATAT